CCAGAATCACTGTTGCCAGTTCTCACAGGGGTTGTGACCCAGTCAGTCCTGTTGGCCATGGCAGCCTCCTAAGCTGGGGAGGGTCCTGGCAGTGGGGTCTGAGCTGGAGATTGAGGATTCCCCGCCTGGCAGCCTTGAACAGAAATGGGGGAATGACTTTTGTCTTCAGCTCAGGTCCAGGGCGAGCCTCAGCCATCTGCCTGTGCTGTGGTGGCCTTATGGGGTGAAGCACAGGGCCAGGCCTTGGGGGAGGCTGGGCAAGTGGGTGCATGTGGGCTCGTGGAGGCCCTGGGCAGGAGCTGTGCCTCATGCTGTTGTTAGTGGAACCCCCAAAAAAAGGGATTTGCACAGGAGAGCTCCTTGGTCTAATCGGCTTCTAGACACCCACTGACTGCAGGGAGCCCAGTGGCTGTGAGTGTGGGGAACCAGACTGAAGGCAGAGGGATGCTCCTTACAGGACAGCTGCCACTGCCCAGCTCAGAGGCCAGGGAGATTCCTGGCGCAGGAGAAGAAGGGAGGGGACTGAGGACTGCAGAGGAGGTGGAATATGGGAATTCTGGTGATCCACTGGATGTGAGGGGCATAGGAAGTGATAGCACTGAGGTGCTGCCTTGCTCTTGAATTGGTAGGATTTAGGGCTAGTAAGCTTTGGTATGTAAAATGTGGAAACCCCAGAGAGAGGCAAGGCCACCATCATAACTTTCATCTGCTATCTGCTGCCCTTCCGAACTCTCCAAGCTTTCTTGCATCTCCCACTGCTGTTGCGTGCCGGGTTTGTATTAGGTTTCTTTGTTTTTTGTGTTTTGCCTCCCAAGACCTCTTAAGTCCTTGCCCTTCTGTGTGTCCGCCATGCAGGTGGGAGCTCTCCCACTTTGAAGTGAAGGTGGCTGTGATTGAACCTGGTCACTTCAAGACCAATATGAGAAGCTTTGAGAGGCATTTACAGGACCTCAAGGAGCTGTCGGACCAGGTCAGCCCTGAGGTCAAGGAGACCTATGGGGAGAAGTTTCTGACATCCCATGAGTGAGTTCTGGACAATGGGGCAAGAAACAAATCCTTGTCTGGAAGTCTAGGTCCATCATTAGTGCCTCCAACAGTATGAGAGTCTGTCCTCCAGACTCTGCCTCCCCAACAAAGTGAGGACATTTAGCCCCATTCCCAGGGTGCCATGTGGTCAACTGTTCACATAAAGGAAGCATCCAAGTTTCCTATAATTGGGACCACTGCCTCATCTGAACCCCTCATTATTTTGCAGAGGAAAGTGAAGTCAGAGACAGTGGGCTCATGGGCAGCTGGGTTTAGAGATAGTTGATTTTCATATTCTTAGGCTGTTAGTAGAGACCTTCAATTTATGAGTCCAGATATCTTAAAAAGAGAGGCTGAGGGAGCTTAGAGTGGCACAGATATTTCTCGGGTGAAGGTTGGGGCACTCTCTGGGGAATATGGATAGATTACACTTGAGGCATATCATTTGGGGGGCCTGGAATTCTTAGACACTATCCTTCTAATTCAGAGCTCTAAATGGGAGGGAAGGGATGTGCTAGTACATTAAGGATCTTTCCTGATCCTTAACAGGCATCAGAAAAGCATCTAGAAGCCTTTGGGCAAAATGCAGTATGAATATATCCTTGTTGACCCACTGCATGGAGCACTCACTACTCAGCTGGCTGAGATGCCAATCTTCTCTACCTCCCCATGAGTGTCATGCCTACCTTCCTATGGACGTCATGCTCCATTGGGGCTCTCCAAGGCCGGCTAAGCCCCTATGAATCCAAGACTGGGGTGCATGGTTGGGTGGAGCTGGGTGACCTGGGTGAGATGATGTGTCCTGGGGAGAGTAATGGCATGGTGGGAGGGAGCTCTCTTGTCATCTGGATGCCTATTCCACCTTCTTCCTCATGCCCTCAACAGAGTTCCACTGAGATATCACTCAGGACTGGCAACATTAGGCGGAAAGAACCAAGGTGTTCTGCTAAAGAATGGGACCCAGTGGCACTCATAGGTGTCCTGTTGCCTTTGAGTCTTTTGGCCAATTCTGAGGAGTCTACACAATGGGAGGGTGTGAGGAGGGGAAGGATCCACAGCCCACAGCTTCTCTGCCTCCTGCTCCTTCCTCAGGTGTGCATCAACCTGGCCAGTCTATTACACTCTCCCCATGATGGAAATGGCCTGGAGGAAGTGGGTGAGGGCTCCTCTGAATACACCTGTGGACATGGTGTGGGGTGACAGGGCAGCCAGCCTGACCCCTAGACCTCAGGTGCCAGCTCTGGGAGCACTGGCTGGCAGTGGTGTCCTCAATAGGGATTGTGACAGAAGACACAGGAACCAATGTTTGACTCTCTTGAAACCACGGGCTTCTCTGGTTACTTTTGTTCTAGAGCAAAGGCTGAAAAGTGCAGCCATGTGCAGCAAGTTGCCTTCTAGTCTGAGGGGAACATGGGCTGTGAGCTAGAGGGAGGAGGAGGCAGGTGCCTTCATGGGGATCTGGGGATGAGAGGGACGAACTCAGGAGGAAATTGAAGAGAGAAGTTGGGTTATCCCTGCCCTGTCTCAGCCCTTTCTGCCACCAAGGTGAGGGGCAATTGCTTTCTTTCCAGGAATGAATCAAGTAGCCTGGGATCACAGGAGCACACAGAGGGACAAGGAAGCAATGGCATGTCACTAAGGCACTGGCAGGCCCCAGATCCCTTCCCTGGGGCACCTGAGTCCTCTTCCTCTCTCAAGCAACCTCTTTGTAGCACTCAGTGACCGGCCCTCACTTTAACGTCATTGCATTTGGGAGGGGTACTGTTTCATGGGGTGAGAAATAGAGTGGTGGGAGGGAGCTCTCAAGTCCAGGGTCTTATACCTCACTTCCCTCACCTCTGTTCTAGGTTTCTCCTGGGATGTTATTCAGGACTCCGGTGATATTAGGAGGAAAGAACCACATTTTGCTGCTTAGGAAGGGAGACCCAATCACAGATAATGGCATCCCACTTCCTTGGGCCCTGAGCCTCATGGTCCACTTGTCACCCTGAAGAATCCACATTTGTGGAAGGTCTTGAGCAACTGGGGGTAGGTGAGCCCACACCGGCTCTTCCTCCTGTCTACCTCATCAGGGTGTGTCTTGGCCCTCAGAGTCTAAGCTCTCCTACTGGAGGGAAATGGCCTGACAGAGGAGAGAGCTCCTCTCCTCTGAGATACCTGTGTGCATGGGGTGGGGATGGGGAGTGCAGCTACCAACCTGACCTACCAGACCTTAGGGGCCAGCTCAGCAAGGAGTCCTGTCATGAGAGAGGAAGGCATTTCTAGCCCTGGGAGGAAGAGCCTTCTATGTGGTCCTACAGCCCTCACACCCCACACCCTCATGGACTGTGTGTTTAGTTTGAGACCAGGGGAACGCTGCCAGCACAGAGGCCCAGGAGGTGCTGAGTCAGGCCCAGGCCTGTGCTGGAGCAGTTCTGAGTTATCCTTATTCTAGGTTTGGAGCCAACTCCTGGACCTCACCTGTGTCCTCAAGAACTGGGATACCCACTGCCCCAGGTCTGCTCAGTCCTTGAGTGACATGGTCTGACCTCTCCCAGCCAAGACTTCTCTGTTCATTCACCCAGGAGGCAGACAGACACTGGGAGATGGTTCCCAGATCCCACATAGGAGGTGCTCTGCCTCGAGGTGGTTATGAAGTAGGTGCAGTTTGCTTTCTACCATTTTCCACTTCCATCCCCTATAAGTTTTGGGTCTGCTCTTCAAGGGTGGGTTCATAATCTGCCCCCCTCCACTACTTTGTTAAGGAATGGCCAAACCCTGCAGGGCTTTCCCAAGGTGACACCTGCTTTATGTGATTCTACGCTCATCAGACTTGGCAAATGGTGGATCACAGAGATACATCCTTTGTTCCTTCTCACTAGAGAACTTTGTGGTCCCATTTCTGTATCAGACTCTCTAAGCCATGAAGGTGTGAGCTGGGACCAGGCTCATCCCAAGGGATAGTGACCCTGGATGTTGATCCAAAGAATCACAGGAGGCTCCAGCATCATTCCCCTGCATCTTATGAAATTCTGGGTGTGGCCCCTCACTACTCACACCTCTGGTTTCCTTATTTCCTTTCCTTTACCACCTTCCCTCTTAGCTTTCTGTAAATTATTTGCTAAATTGCCTAGACTCTCTTCTTCTCCTCCAAGTCCCGACCCAGAGAATTTTCTATGTCTCTGGCCCCAGTTCTCTGCTCCTCCTATATCACATCCCCTCTTACAGTCAAGGCCTCTGCCCAGACAATTCCCTCAGCTGCCCAGTGAACTCATGATCCCACCTCATCATCTTGCCCAGGGCCAGTCACTGATGGCCTGAGTATCATCCCCAGGGGTGTCAGGCCTGAGTCCCCCAGGTCTTTCTGCTTTCTGGTGGCTAAGTTTCACATCACCAGCCTCCCCTATAGGAGGGCCCTGCTGCCTCTAGCCTCAGGACAGTGGAGGTACATCCACCTTAGGAGAAATCCATTGCTTTTCATCCTCTCTCCTGGTGGAGACTTACCTAAGAATTCCAGAAAGCTGACGACCTGCAACTTGTTTCTCTTGGGGTTTGGAAGGTACAGAACTAATGTTGTTTGTTTTACATTAATAAATTTGTCTTGAGTATTTTCCCTGAAAATAAAACTTAAACTTATTTACATACCTGCACTCATTACAAAAGATTTTGATCTCTGGAGACCAAAATCCTTAGGCTGGGTTGGGGGTAGGGTGGCGACAGGATTTCTAGGGGAGCTGCCTGGGGTGAGTCCTCCTTTTTCATTTGCCTCCCTTACACCACCTGGGTGAACCACCACTCATCACCAACATTGCCAGTGGATTCTTTCCCATTCTTGGCAGCTTTACCCATCAGGGCAGGGGGAGAGAAGGAGGCAGCCACCAGGGCTGTCAGAGGTGACAAGGCTTCAGGTTGGACTTGAATTTCTTGCATCTGAGCTAATTGCTGTGGTGATGCATCCACCTATAAAAATTACAGCGTGGCTCACCCAGGGACCTAGATTTGTTGCAAGCTGTGGGAGGGAGGAGAGTTCTTCCAGGTGGTTTCCTGTAGACTGCCTGCTAGGGCTCAGAGGACCAGCTTCCTCCTGCTGTCTCCTGAGCCCACTCCCTCTTGGCCATCACATTCTCCTGCCCTATGGCGGCCCTCACAGACCTCTCATTTATGTACCGCTGGTTCAAGAACTGCAATCTGGTTGGCAACCTCTCGGAGAAGTATGTCTTTATCACAGGCTGTGACTCCGGCTTCGGGAACCTGCTGGCCAAACAGCTAGTTGATCGGGGCATGCGGGTGCTGGCTGCTTGCTTCACTGAGGAGGGAGCCCAGAAACTTCAGGAGGATACCTCCTATCGGCTGCAGACCACCCTACTGGATGTCACCAAGAGTGAAAGCATCAAGGCGGCGGCCCAGTGGTTGAGGGACCAAGTGGGCGAGCAAGGTGGGGCGAATTACATTCTTTGACTTTCTTGGTTTCTCCTTCTTCCTCTTCCTCTCTGCCGAAGCATCTGACAGTATCAAAGACCCTGATGTCCAGATGGGGTGGGAGGGGGTGACATAGGAAAGGCTCCTGCTTCAATCTGGTTGGAAGCCACTGCATGGTTTGGCCTGTTCACATGAAGGGGTGATTTCCCAAGGAAGTTTTCTGTCCTGGAAACTCAGAGAGACAGGAAAGAGGTCTCAATAGGAAGTGAGGGGGGAAGATGTGTTCTGTGTGTCCAAACCTCTAAAAATGGACATGCCTGGCTGGACATGTTGGCTCATGCCTATAAATCCAGCACTTTGGAAGGCCGAGGCGGGAAGATCATGAGGTCAAGAGATGGAGACCATCCCGGCCAACATGGTGAAACCCATTTCTACTAAAAAATACAAAAATTACCTGGATGTGGTGGCATATGCCTGTGGTCCCAGCTACTCGGGAGGCCGAGGCAGGAGCGTCACTTGAACCCTGGAGGCGGAGGTTGCAGTAAGCCAAGATTGCGCCACTGCACTCCAGCCTGGTGACAGTGAGACTCCATCTCAAAAAAAAAAAAAAAAAAAAATAGGATGTGCCTCTCTGAGGTTTCAGCAGTCCTAACCATCAGCTCCTGGGGAAATATAAGCACATTTCTTGTTGGGATCAGGATAAGGGGGAGGGGGAATGAGACAGGAGGTTGGATCCCATGAGGGGGTGAAGTTTCTCTCCTTGACTATGTCAGGCAGGGGAGAAAGAGATCTGGTCTCTTCTTGACATCATGGTGGGTGTTGGTTTGACTTCAGGGCAAGTATGTAAGTCAGAGTGGCTGTTCCTATCGGGAAAGGAAGCTGTGGACTGGGGCTGGCCCAGGACTGCGTGGGGACCTGCCTCATGCACTTGCAGCACACAGGGTGTGGGCCCAGGAACAGGAGGAACAGGATGGCTGGGTTGCAGAAGCAGCAGACTAGAGGAAGTCCTCCCTCCTAAAGGAACTAGTCTGGAGCCCATGCACAGGTCAGGGCAACAGAGCCCTGGAGCCAGGGGGATCCAGACAGTAATTCCCTGCTTGATTCTTCTCCTTAGCACTTATGACTAGTCAATGTACAATAGATTTTACTTATTTATTGTCTGTTTCCTCCTAGAATAAAGCTTCCTGGGGACAAGGATTTTTGTCCCTTTTATTTACTGTGCATCCTTAGTACCTAGAATAATGTCTGGCACCTAGTAAGGTACTCAATAAATAGTTTTCGAGTGAGCTAATTAATTAGTAATTCAGCAAGAGTGAGCCTCTGTCTTCAGCAGGCTGTCTCAACCAGTTCCCTACATTCAGCCTTGAGCCACTTGCCTTAATACCTCACTTAGCATGTTAGTTTCCTGTTGCTGTTGTAACAACACAACTGTACAGTCTGAAGACAATATTAACATATTATCTTGTAGTTCCGGAGGAGTAATGTCCAAAATGGGCCTCACTGATCTAAAATCAGTCAGCAGAACTGTGTTCCTTCTGGAGGCTGTAGAGGAGAATCCGTCTCTGCCTTTTCCAGCTTCCAGAGGCAGCTGACATCCCCTGGCTCCTGGCCTGCTACCTCCATCTTCAAGGCCTGCAATGTTGAGCCCAGTCTTTTTCACACTTTTCTCAATCTCTCTGATTCTCTGGTTTCTGCCTCCTTCCACTTAGAAGGACTCGTGATTATATTGGGCTCACCAGTTTAATCCAGGATAATTTCCCTGTGTTAACTTCCTCCCTAACTTTAAGGACAATTGATTAGCAACCTCCATTCCACCTGCAACCTTAATTCCCCTTTCCCATGTAATCCAGCAGATTCACAGGTTCCAGAGATAATGAGGCTGGCGACATCTTTGGGGGACCATTATTTTGCCTAAGCCACTGGGCAATATCCTTGCCTAAGAAGCACCGGGAACTGGGGTGGGTAGGGGGATGGGAGAGGAAGTTCTTGTGTGCTTTCTCATTGCTCCTGAATGCACAAAGGCAGGGAGATTGGGTAGGGGCATGGCTTCAGTGGGGACCCCGGCCCTAGAGGGAGGGGTGGACTAGGATTTATGTTTGTGTTGAGACCTGCCCTCAGGAGACAGTGGGATGCGCCTGCAGAGTATCCTGGGGCTGCTGAGGCTGGCGCTGTCAGGGGAATCACCAGGGCAGTAGGGCTTGGGGAATCCTTGCATGAAGGAGCTGGAAGGGGTCCTTGAGCAGTGTTTAGAGGGGTCTCCAGTGTGTCTTTAGCATCACCCTCCCTCTGGTGGAATTTTTTTGGAACTCCAATATGTAAAACAAATGAAAGGAGAGCTTCTACATTTTCCTCCTGCTAGAAGGCTTGCAAAATACAGTCTGGAAGCAACTGTTTTAGTCCAATCTGATGAAGAGTCTGAGGCCCAGAGAAGGAAGTGACTTGTTCAAAGCTGGAGGTAAAACCAGGACTGGACCTGACGCTCTTCAACCCTGGGCCCCTGCAAAGTTGAATGATCACACTTAGCATTATTTCTTTCCATTTGTACCAACCTAATTGAAATATCTCAAAGACAGTCCTCATCACATTTTCCATAATTATTTTATTTAAATAATATATATATTTATTTATAAATATTATTATTTCCTTCTAGGCTTGTGAGTTCCTGGAGGGATAAAATGCTGTGTTGTTCATTTTATGTCTCCTTTGCCCTGTATTTTACTTTATTTTATTTCATATCATTTTATTTCATTTTATTTTCAGAGACAGGGTCTCACTCTGTCACCCAGGCTGGAGTGCAATGGCACCATTATAGCTCACTGTAACCTTGAACAAGGTAACCTGTAACCTGGGCTCAAGTGATTCTCCCACCTCAGCCTCCCAGTAGCTAGAACTACAGGTGCATACCACCACACCTGACTAATTTTTTTTCTTTTTTGTAGAGACGGGAGTCTCACTCTGTTGCTCAGGCTGGTCTCAAACTCCTGGCCTCAAGTGATCCTCCCACCTCAGCCTCCCAAAGGGTTGTGATTACAGGTGTGGGTCACTGCACCTGGCCTCCTTCACCCTACAATTGTCACAGACTAGATACATGCATGAATAAATGTGTAAAGATGGATGAATGAATGAATGGATTGATTTTGATAGTATGTGAAATGCAGTTGGTTATACTTAAGTGAATAGAGAGGGAGAAGCATGATGGGGAAGGGATCTAAACACTAATTCATTGGTATGAAAATGAAACTCTTATCCCAACGCTTATAGCTAGAAATGCTGTTAGCTAACACCTTGATTGTAGCTGGCACAGAGCGCCAGCTAGTCGGCAGACTTTACTTGAATTGGGAAAAAGTGTCCCTTCAGGGAAAATGAATTAGTAAAAGATACACCTTTCTTTTATGTTATAGCCTGACTGGGTTGTGTCTTGTGCACCTGCTCAACCATCCTTGAAGGCACTCAGCCAGTGGGGAGCAAACCTTGGTTCTTTCCCAGGCCCCCTGATGATTTCTATGTGGTTCTCCATCTCACCCCCAGGCCTCTGGGCCCTGGTGAACAATGCTGGTGTGGGCCTGCCCAGTGGTCCCAACGAATGGCTGACCAAGGAGGACTTTGTGAAGGTGATTAATGTGAACCTGGTGGGACTGATCGAAGTGACGCTTCACATGCTGCCCATGGTCAAGAGAGCCCGGGGCAGGGTTGTCAACATGTCCAGCTGTGGTGGTCTTGTGGCCGTCATTGGTGGTGGCTACTGCGTCTCCAAGTTTGGCGTTGAGGCCTTCTCTGACAGCATCAGGTAAGTGGGCCCTGGTACTAAACCACTCCAGGTGGAAATCCCGGGGGTTAGAGAGGGTTGGGAGTGACAGCTTGTGGGCAGGGGAATTCTGCAGACAGGAAGCTAACACAATAGCAGAAGGAAGGTTAGACCTCAAGGTGCTTTCTCCAAGGACCAAGAGAAGGTATGAGGAGAAGAGGTAGGGTGGAAATACGAGGCATCAGGTGGGCCTTCCCTTGAGCAGCACCAGGGTGAGTGAAACCTTGTTTGGGCCTGTGAGAGGAGGAGGGAGAGTCCCCCATAAGACAGACAGGCCTGGAGGCAGAGGTCCCCTCTGGAGGTCTTTAGAGGAGCATGCAGGTCTTGTGTAGACCCACACCCTTCACCATGTGGGTGTTGAGTGAGGAGTTGCTAATGGGAGGGACCTGGTGGGAGGTAAGGCTTGGCCTAGATTCTCTATTGACTTCTTCCCGCCAGTTATGCCTAATGCAAATTGCCCAGAGACTGCTGGGCCAGTCTGGGAAAAGGCTGAGTACCTAAGGAAGGGCTTAGTTGCATAAAGGCAATGCCAGGGCCATGCACAGGGGGTGAGGGAGGCATCTCTAGGTTCCTGAAAGACAAGCCCATCCAGAGGTGACTCTCCCTGATGATTGTCATCTTGAGACCCAGACTGAGCACAACTCTTCTTTCCCAGGCGTGAGCTCCACTACTTTGGGGTAAAGGTCTGCATCATTGAGCCAGGGAACTACCGGACAGCCATTCTGGGCAAGGAGAACCTGGAGTCACGCATGCGAAAGCTTTGGGAGAGGCTGCCTCAGGAGACCCGGGACAGCTATGGAGAGGAGTATTTCCGTAACTGTAAGTTCCTGAGGCAGGGGAGGGGTCTCTAAGGGGGGCGAGTGGGTCTTGGGGTCATTAGCTAGCTTTCCATTTACAGATGGTGAGACAAAATGCAGAGGAGTTCAGGACCCAAGGTCACACAGTGGCAGAGTTGGGGTTTGAGAATAGACAGCAAGCGGCAGAATCATCACTGCTGGAGCGGTGCGGGGAGTTAAGGGCAATTCGGCCCACTCCTGGCACCTGCCCACACAGCATCATGATGCAGGGGAATCAGGTGAAAATGTACTGAGATAAATATAGTGAAGAGATCAAGAGCATGGCTGCTAGAGCCAGACTGCCTGGGTTCAAATCCTGGCTCTACTACTTACCAGCTAGGAGACTTTGGGCCTATTACCTAGTTTTCCCATGCCTGAGTTTTCTCATTTACAAAATGGAGCTAAAGATAGATGGTGCCTCCTTCATGGGGTTGCTATGAGGGTTAGTATGTGTGAAGTGCTTTGCACATTCCGAGTGCTTGTTAATAAAGAAGAAAATGAGTACATGGGGATTTAAAAGAGAGGGTCTCTAGGCAGCTCTCTTTCTCTCCCTGAGCTGAGGGTCTCCTGTGAATCATTGGTGTTTTTGGAGGGTAGAGGTGGGACATGGCAGCTGTTTATCCTGCTGCCCCAAAACTTTGTGCTGCGAAAGTTGTCTGCTGGACATCATACGTCAACAGAGCACAAAGCCAAGACAGCCATTTTTTTTCACTTAATACATACACACTTTATTGCATTTTTGTTTTTTATTTTTGTTTTGAATCAGTAATACAAAACATGCAAGGCTGCCATGTCCCAAGCATGTGTGGGGCTGGAGAGCTGGAGCGGACATAGCGGTGTGCCTGCCCCTCACTGCCTATAGCTTATGGCCCAGTAGGGGAGACAAACATTAATAAAAACACATGTGTTTATGGTAGATGTGGATAAGTGCAACAGAGGAGAAACAGGGTTGTGAAAGAAGAATGAAGTGGGAAGTTGGGGTCCCAATTCAGGTTGTGGTGAAGGGGAGAGCTTCTCTGAGTTGACTTTGAGGAAGAATAAGAGTTAGGTGTTGCTGGGAAGGGGAAAGAAGGGACTTTTTTTCTGCAGGAAGGCTCTGAGGCAGAAAACTCCATTTGAGGAACTTTAAAGAAACCAGCAGGTGGGAAGCAATGGGAGGTAGCTGGAGTATACAGAATAAATTAGAGCATCAAAGCACACTGAGGATTAAGGGGTGAGGGAGAGGAAGCCATCAAGGGTGAGTGCTAGCTTTACAGCTTGAAGAATATGGTGGATGGAGGTGTCATTCATTCATTGATTTAGGGAAGCCTCAGGGAAAAATGTTTGGGGTACCCCTTAGGTAAATTCATCTTTCAGTGCTAGACATGTTAGGATTCTGTGAGAAGAAAATGTCTAAGGATTTACATTAGTTGGGACTTACTCAGTGACAGAAGATCCAGTGCTAATTATTTAAGCAGAAAAGGAATTTCTTGCCTCACCTGACTAAAAAGTTGAGCAAGATAAGCTTCAGGTACAACCTGACCCAGACTGCAAATGATGTTGCTAGGACCTGGTTTCACCCATTTCTTGGCTCTGCTTCTTTTGCGTTGACTCCAATCTCTAAGCTCTCTCCCCTGTGGGAGCCGCATAACTGCAGCATCTCTTCACCTCCACCTAGGGTGAGGTCTGCTGGAAAAATAGGAGAGTTCTTTCCAGTACCTCTCCCAAAAGTCCTAATGTACACTCTGACTTGGAGGACCTATGGTGGCCACATCATAGGGGACTACAAGATGCACCCAACCCTAAACCAGTCACTGCGCCCAGGGGAATGTGAAGGTGTGATTGGCTCAGGCTGGGCCATGTGCTCTGCCCAGACCAATGGACACGGTGTTGGGGAGGCATAGGTCCCCAAAGGGAAATGTGCTGTCGTTGGGAGCAAGGACAGTAGATGTTAGTGTGTGTGGGGAAGAATATTTATCCTCTGTGTGATCATTCTTAGCAAAGAGTAGTTCAAATTATTTGTGGAGCTGCTCTGAGGCTGGGGCAAAGTGAATTCAGCCAGTGTCTGGAAACCTCACAAAGTCATTTTCTAAGTAAGCACTCAGGGTGAAGAGTGATTGTAGCATCTTTAGTGTGGTTCATGGAAGAATATGTATAAAGGCAAACTCCTCTGAAAACCCTGTCCAGAAACTGGTATTGTTATACTAAAGAATAGTAAGGACTGGGCTTATAAAATATGTTAGGCCAATTCACCTGTAGTCCACACCATAATTTCAGAGGAAAATTTTCAGGCAGTTGTCAACTACACTTAGATAAACGTTTTCCCAAGTGGTTATACCAGAATTTTCGCTTCAGTTGCCCAGTGTTTATTGGGATACAGAGATGAGACAGTCTCCGGGAAACTAGCAGGGAAGATGTGAAAGTAAATACACCACCACATGAAGAATCTTGCAATAATGGACATGCGTACAAAACAAGCAGCAGTGCAGACTTCACTCCGCTGTCACAGAAGCCTTACAGAGGTGACAGTTAATGCCTTAGTGAGTTTTGAAGGATGAATAGGAGTATACCAACAGGGAAGGAGATGGTGGATGTTTTACACAAGAGGAAGGGTGTGAGCAACATTTTGGTGACCTGACGTAGCATTGTATGCTTTTAGAGGTAGTGCAGATTCAGGCTTGTATTCCAGCAGTCCCCCTAATCATGTTGTACAGCTCTCCAAACTTGTTTATCCATTTATAAAGTACAATTCCTCTCTCATGGATTGTTAGGAGATTTAAACAGAAATGCAAAATACTCAGCTCTGCCACAGTAAGAGCTGAACAAACCTTTGCCATTGCCATTATAGTCTGGCAGGAGTGCTGTGGGTGGTGATTGAGGAGGGGAGAGATTAGGAGTCAGATCATAAAATGCTTTGATTGCTATACTAAGGAGCATGGCTCTTATCCTAAAGGCATTAGAGAGCCTTGTAAATGGCTCTGAAACGGCGGATCAGATTTGTGTCACTGTGGGAAGGATAAAAAGGCCACCTGGGAGATTACTGCAGAAACCCTGCGAAGGAATGATAAAGACATGAAGTTCTAAGTCATGGTGGTTCTGGTGGTGGGGGGTGGCTGTGTGACAGACAGGAGAGATATTTAGGAGTAGTCCTAGAGCATCACTGGGTACAAACTCAGCAAGTTGCTGTGGCTGACCAAACAGGCCCCTGGCTTGTAACCCCTAGGAGCAGGCCTGATACTTTATAGACTTTATCTTACTTAATTCTCCCAATAACAAAAACGTTTTCCCAGGTGCCCAACTCCAAAGCCTATGTCTTTCCTCACTGTGAAGGACAGTGACAAGGCCGGATGGGTCCTTCAGTCTCCCTTCCCACTCCATGCCTAGCAGGGTGCCCAGCACTGAATGGCAGCTAATATCTATTTAAGAAAACAATGAAAGCAGGTGCCTTATACCCTTTCCCATGTGTGGGGTACCTTCTTCCACCCCACTGCCTATGTAAGCCCTCCCCACCTCTCAGAACCCAGTCCCCAGCCCATCTCACCATGTCAGCTTGCTCCACCTCCTCAGCCCACAAAGGCTTCCCTGGCTCCGAGGTGGCAGAGACAGCCCCTTGGGCATCCTGAACGATTCCTTCGGCCCTCAGTCCTGCTGCTGGTGGCCTCTGTGCCAGCTCTATGGTCAGAGGTCAGGGTGTGGTTTCCCAAGACATTACTGCCTTATGGACAGTCTGGCTTTAAGTTAGTGTGGCTCTTGTTGAGATCCCAAAATGTAGTTTGGCTTTTTCCCTGCATCAGTTTTCTTTCCAGGAAACAGAAAATGGAGTTTCTCAGAGTCTGGGGTAAAGGGGACTGAAGTGACACTGCCCCATTCTCACCAACCACCCACAAGGATCCTGGCCCCGAGTGGGTGAATTCCTTGCCTGCCTGGACCATTCTCAAAGTCATGGCAGCTTTGGCTTCCTCTCCATTTTCAAGTTTTCATCCCTCATCAGGGCAGTCTGACTTTGAAGCACCATTTTCTCTGGAGTCCTCAGGGCTCTCAGTGAAGCATGAATTCCTCTGTCCTGGGGTGAGGATGCACATGAGGGCCTGGTGGGTGTGTGGTGTGGCCCTTCTCCTATTTATGTCATGAGCTTTGGCAGACTTGTACCACCTGGGGTCTCTGTCCCCATCTCCACTCCTGGGTGCCAATGCAAACAGAACAGCCCCTCACATTTGTGAGGGCCCCACGAGGTGCTTGTCTATTCCTTAAATTGTTTGAGTCCACAATGGCCAATGATCTTATGACTGAGGTAGGGGCAGTATTACTATTTTTAAATAATATTTTATCCTGCATGTTTTTGTTTAAATGTGGGAACCCTAGGAAGTACATAGAAGGAAAAAAAAAAGGCTGTCTTCCCATCATGTTTGCTATTCTGTACTCTCCCAGTGTCTACCCTGCTATTAATCATCTTTTGATATTCTCCAGGACAGACTTTTTTTTTTTTTTTCTGAGATGGAGTCTCACTCTTGCCCAGGCTGGAATGCAGTGGTGCGATCTTGGGTCACTGCAACCTCCTCCTCCTGAGTTCAAGTGATTCTCATGCCTCAGCCTCCCTAGTAGCTGCGATTACAGGCACGTGTCACCATGCCCAGCTAATTTTTGTATTTTTAGTAGAGAGGAGATGTCACCACATTGGCCAGGCTGGTCTCAAACTCCTGCCCTCAGGTGATCGACCTGGCTTGGCCTCCCAAAGTACTGAGATTACAGGCCCGAGCCACTATGCCCAACCTTCAGGAAAGATAGTATTATCTCCATTTTACAGATAATAAAAGTTTAAGCTCAAGGTAATATAACTAATAAGTGGCACAGTTTTAAGAATGCTCACAGCTCTTCTCATCACCAGTCTAATGCAATAGTAGGAAATCAATGCACAATTGTTGAATTCAGGAAGATAAATAAGATTGATGCTTTATTTATTTATTTATTTTGAGACAGCATATCATTCTGTTGCCCAGGCTTGAGTGCAATGGTGTGATCTCGGCTCACTAAAACCTCTGCCTCCTGGGTTCAAGTGATTCAGTATCTCAGCCTCCTGAGTAGCTGGGATTACAGGCATGTGCCACCATGCCCGGCTAATTTTCATATTTTTAGTAGAGATGGGGTTTCACTATGTTGGCCAGGCTAAGATTATTTATAATAGTCTTATAAATGTGTGTTTGTATAAGGGACCACCTGGAGGGTGTGGCAGACCTGTCTGAAATGTTAGATCAGGGATCTCGTGGAAAGGGTAGTTGGACAGAATTCAGAAGAAATCATCTTTTATGAAGAATAACAGAGCCTTTTTCCACTCTCTGCCCTCAAACAGATACTGACAAGTTAAAAAACATAATGCAGGTGGCAGAGCCCAGAGTCAGAGATGTCATCAACAGCATGGAGCATGCTATTGTTTCCCGGAGCCCTCGCATCCGCTACAACCCTGGCCTGGATGCCAAACTCCTCTACATCCCCCTGGCTAAGTTGCCCACCCCTGTGACAGATTTCATCCTGAGCCGGTACCTTCCAAGGCCAGCGGACAGTGTCTAAACTGGGGAGGCTCAATGGGTCAGTGGAGCCTAGAAGTGGGGGTGGAAGGAAGGACTGTGGGGTCACAAAAGGTGGTATCAGATATCCTGGGGACACTGGCTGCAAAGGACGCTTGGCTCAGCTGACATCCACTGCTGTCGAATTTACCAGTAACTTCTAACAGAAGATGAATGCCTCTTCCCACCCTCTGGGACCACACAGAAACCTGAGGTGATGTTTGCAAGTTCAGCGATCTGCAGCAATGGCTCCAAGGACATCTGTCACCCAGTCAGGATACGGCTTTTTCTGGTCTTGGAAAAGTCATGGAGAAGAAAACCAGCTCCTGAAGAATCATGAGCCCCTTTAAGTTATCACTGCCACTGAGAAATACTGTGGGATAATCTTACCTCCAGGAGAATCTAACCACCTTCCTACTGGGTCCCTCAATATGCATGACTTCATTCACATAACCCATCACTGAAGTACATAGTAGGGCAGATAGGGAGTGCAAGATTACATCAGACAAAAGTTTAAAATATTTTCTCTCTTTTTAGATTCTTCTATCTATAGGTGATTGGGATCCACATGAAATAACATTCATTTATTTAATCACCATTGAGTAATTTTTCAAATATTTATTGAGCACCCACTACCTACCAGGCACTTTGTAGGTGCTGGGGGAATATAAAGATGATTAAACCATGGTCTTGGTTATTTATTGTTTATTTTGTGTTTTGCTTTGCTTTGTTTTAGCACAATATCTAGTAGCTTAGTTAGGACAAACAATGATAGAAGGAATAGAAATCAGAATACAAATTTTTAGAGCTATGAAGGACCCTAGGAGTGTTCATCCAATACTTCAAAAAATTGGCTGTACCTTGTAATCACCCAGTTAATTAAAAAATACAGACTCCTGCACCAATATTAGAAAATCTGATTCAGTAGGACTGAGACAAGACCCAGAAGTATGTATTTGTAACAAGGACCTAGAAGATTCTGATGCACCTGAGCAATTGGGAGCTACTTATTCCATAGAATAAGTAACTTAACACTCAGAGGGGGAAGTGACCTACCTAAGCCCTCAGCTTAGTAACTAAGACAAGGATAGAAATGAGGCGTTCAGACTCCCAGACCAGGATTCTTTTTCAGTTATAGGAAAATCCATTTCTGAAGTTAGTAACACTGTCAAATAAGTCATTGAACTAATTTTTTAAAAAAAGACTTAAACTCCTGGGTCATATGAAGTTCTATTGAAAAGACTTTTTTTGATCTTGATAAATGGTCATGTAATAAAGGTCAAATATTATTTTTTAACTAAAATATCTTTAATTTGGGTCTCTTCAACATCTGAAAATAATAAAATATAATCCAGGTATATCCGCAAAGACTCTTTCCAAATAAGGTAACACTCACAGGTTCCAGGGGTTAGCTTATAGATATATCTCTGGGGAGCTACCGTGCAACTCACTACAGTTTTAGCACTTCTATTCCTGGCACCAAATTCTAAATCAGATAGAATGCACTCAGCAACAAGTAACAGAAAAGCCAACTCACAAGTAACAGAAAAACCAACTGGCTTAGACAATGAAGAGTGAGGGCAGGGCTCAGTGGCTGAATGATGGCATTGAGGCTGTAGGCTCTTTCTACTTCTTTGCTCTGCTACCCACAGTTTTAGCTTTACCCTTTGTTACTGTGGTGTGACTGCCAGGCAAAGGGAACTCTACATTTCCTCATTCACAACTTAAAGAAGAAGAAAGAGCCTGCCTTTCCACAGCATTCAAGATTGAAGAAGTTTCTTTCCTAGAGCCCTCATCACGCGTCTCCTTGAATCGCATTGGCCCAAATTGGTTTAAGCTTGTCCACCCCTGACAAAGAGGTAAATTGCCATGAATTGCTTAGATTAATCATGGGACAGATGGGATGTTGGGAAATCAGTCACAATGCCTACCACCTTGGAAAATGCAAAACTCAGACATTGTGCTCTTGAGAGGGTTGAACAAAGGTCAAAAGTAAATTTTCTGAAGACACAAAAATTTACTAAGGGGAAATTGGCTAGGTAATATTTTGAGATGATAATTTACACTTTTTCATTCCTCCCTGTTTTTCTATGTCCCCTTCTTCCATTCAAATGGATAGCCAATTTGGTACTTCTTTACCTAGGGTGAGATGTTTGATGGGATAAAACATACAAATTTCCTGCACTTTCTCCAGCTTTAGTCTCCCCCAACCCTATATATTTAGAAAAATTATAGAGTTTGGGGAAAGAAGTAAAACAGAATGTGACTTAAGGGTGTATCAAATGACTCAGAGAAACACAGACTTTCCCCTATGACAAAGAGATTCACTCTGATTAGAGAAGAAGGTGATGTTTGGGGTTCCCAGAAAAGGAGGGACCAGGGCTCACTTTCTGGAAGCACCGTGGGGTCACACCATGGCGAGGTGACAAGACTCAAGAGTCACAGCTACATTGTACGTTTAGGCAGCCGAGGCTCCAGATGACCTCACAGGAGACTCATGTGTCCCACCATGGCAGGAAGGTAGTAGAAATTTGCTAGATATAAAGGGCATGTAGACTGGAACAGAAGACACTAAAGTGGCAACTTTTAGAAGATAAAAGTCTTAATTTTTTGGTCTGAGGGCCATCTCTCCACCTCATCATTAATAGCTGAGGTATTTTTTGAACTTATGAGCTGAGATTCATATATGCTCCAGAGTTACATTTTGGTTGATTTCATATTAGGACCATGACCTTTCTTACATAACTTTTATATTTTCCTGGAGTTTTGAATTGCCTTTTCTTGTTCATTTATTCAGCTTCTTAATCATTTTTATCTCCATTTTTAAGGTAGGGGAATAATGTGATCTGATTTATAATTTTAAAAGATCACTGGGGGGCTCTGTGGAGACTGAAATGAAAGAGCAATGGTGGAAGCAAGAAGGCCATTGCATAATCCAGGCAAGAGATGATAGTGCCCTAAGCTGAAATGGTGTTAGCAGGAATGATGATAATAGGTAAAATCAATATATAATTTGGAGGTAGAACCATTAATGGACTTTAATCATTAGTCAGTCTGTCAAGAAGAGTTTATCAGGCTCCTACTAAGTGCTAAACGTGGTTCTAGATTCTAGAGTTATAGTGGGGTATAAGGCAGAGTCCTTGCCCTCAAAGAGTTTATATTCTAATGGAGGGAGGGGTTGGCCAATAGACATATAAAAAAGTGAATGAAATAATTTTATATACTGATAAGTGCTGTGGAGAAAAGAAAATATAATAATGTAATAGATGACTAGGGAGGCTGCTTACCGTTTTTTCTAATCAACATTATTGAGGTAAAGTTTGTATTAAAAGAAATGCATCCAACTAAGTATACAGTCTGATGAATCTTGTCATATGAATACACCTGTACAACCACCACCAGTCAAAATATAAAATGTTTTTCTCATCCTAGAAAGTTCCCTTGTACCTGTTTGCAGTTAATCATCCCTCCTCTCCACCCTGGCTCCAGACAACCACTGATGTGTTTCTGTCACTATAGGTTCATTTTGAGGCTGCTTACTTTTCAAAAAGACCACTTTTGCTGCCATTGAGGAATGAATAGGAATGAACTGGATTGAAGAGGTGCAAGTCTAGACCTGATAAGAGAAATGTGACAATAAAGTAATAGAAATAAAAATAATTGGTATTTATTGGACATTTACTCAGTCCAAGCACTGTGCTTAGTATTTCCCACACATTATCCATTCAATTTTATTCAACCTCTGCAACAAGTCCTGTGGGGTTACTCCTATGTTATAGAGGAGGAAACTGAGGCTCAGAGAGGTAAAGTAATTTGCACAAGACTACACTGCTAATAAATGGCAGAGTCAGAGTGCGGTTTGCCACATGTTACAAGAGCAAGCACTTCCAGAGTGCTCACTACATGCCAGATACTGTTCTAAGCACTCTAATTTTCTTTTTTTTTTATTTTTTATTTAAGTTCTGTGATACACGTGCGGAACATGCAGGTTTGTTATATAGGTATACATGTGCCATGGTGGTTTGCTGCACCTATCAACCCATCATCTAGGTTTTAAGCCCTGCATGCATTAGGTATTCGTCCTAATGCTCTCCCTCCCCTTGCCCCCTACCTTCCAACAGGCCCCAGTGTGTGTTGTTCCCCTCCCTGTGTCCATGTGTTTTCTTTGATCAACTCTCACTTATGAATGAGAATATATGGTGTTTGGTTTTCTATTCCTGGGTTGGTTAGCTGAGGATGATGGTTTCCAGCTTCATCCATGTCTCTGCAAAGGACATGATCTCATTCCTTTTTATGGCTGCATAATATTCTAAGGTGAATATGTATCACATTTTCTTTATCTATCTATCATTGATGGGCATTTGAGTTTGTCCTTTAGAAAATTCTAAACAGAATCAAAAGGCTACTGTAGCCTCCCTTAAGAGAAAATAATTCCAGGCTGGATATGATGGCTCATGCCTAAAATCCCAGAACTTTGGGAGGACAAGGTGAGTGGATCACTTGAGGTCAGGAGTTCGAGACCAGCCTGGGAAACATGGTGAAATCCCATCTCTACTAAAAATACAAAACTTAGCTGGGCATGGTGGTGCACACCTCTAGTCCCAGCTACTTGTGAGGCTGAGGCATGAGAATCACTTGAACCAGGGAGGCGGAGACTGCAATGAGCTGAGATTGTACCACTGCACTCCAGCCTGGGTGACAAAGTGAGACCTTGTCTCAAAAAAAAAAAAAAAAAGAGAGAGAGAGAGAGACACAGAGAGAGAGAGAGAGAAAATAATTCCAAATTGAGTGAATGCCTTAATGAAATAGAGAGAGAGATTAGAGCTTGTGAACCTGAAACTAAAGCTGGAAAAAAACCTCTGGAAGAAACTTCTTCCACTAGACTCCCCTTTCTGCCACTCTTCCTGGCTTCATTCCGCTTTCTGCCACTCTTCCTGTCTTCCTGTCTTCTTCCAGTCTTTCTTTCAGAAAATCTTTTTGCCACCTGTCCTTTATCCTTCACTTTCTCCTGCCTCTTTCACTCTTTCAGCTGGTTATTTTGGAAACATTTCTAAATTTTTTCTGAACTTGTCTGTGTGTTTTCTTGTAAAATCCTGTGAGAAATTCCTGTGACTGTATGTTACCTTGATATCCATTTTAATCCTCTTCTGACACACCCAGACTTCTTGAAAAAGCTTAAATTCTTTCTGTGCCTGAGGTATAAATTTGCTACCCTATTTTCTTTAAAGCTCAGTAAAGGCTTCGGGCATGTGGAACAGATAAATTTCAGCCCGTTCCATTTACAGAAATGCAGTTGGAATCAAATTGTTTTTTGAAACTAATGAGTTTTACTTAACTCATGGCTAAGTTTTAAAATGAAAGCTGTAAGATCTTTATTTGTGTCTGTATTTTTGTGTACATATATGTTTACATATCTACTCATATGTTGTCTATAGTTCCAAATTGTTTTATAAATAAATGAGTACTTGCCAGGTGCAATGGCTTGTGCCTGTAATCCAAGCTCCTCAGGACACTGAGGTGGAAGGATCACTTGAGCCCAGGACTTTGAGGCTGCAGTCAGCTATGACTGGGCCACTGCACTCCAGCATAGGTGACAGTGAGAGCCCATCTCTTACAAAAAAATAAAAGAATACTCATAGATTAAGCAAATAAGCTGAAATGCTTTTCAAGTTAACGTGATTTAG